TCATCGCCACCCACCACGTAGACCAAGGAGATGTGGGGGCACTAAGGCCTAAATGGTGCCTCTCTTAAAAGGCTTCTGCAATTCAATGACAGTAGCAATGACCATAACAAAATAATTCTTAGACCTTTAGTCAGCAATTCCATGCAAGACGCAAGGTGACAGCTGCAGCATGGGAGTGCATCTCTCAAGAGCTGCTGAGTGACCCAATGGAGGACCGTGATTCCAGGAGGGATCTACAGCAGTTGGCATGGGCACTGCGAGGCCTTAGCCTCCAGTGCCTTCTGTCCCCTTCCTATCAGCAGCCCCTTTCTATCATATAGAACTAAAACTTAGGTAAACCTTCCCTATGTGCCAAGGCTGCTGGGGCTGGGTGTGCATATAGTCTGGGGTTTTGAAGGCCATCAAGAGCTTGATGAAGATCTGGAAGCCTTCAGGGAGAAAAGATGAGGGGACTTTGAGGCTGAGATCAGAGTCCAGAAGCAGTGGGGTAATTCTAAGAGCCCTTACAGCAAAAGGACCAATAAAACCAAAACCAGCAACTGACTAAAAAATAGCACGAATCCCTGGAGTCCTTGGCAGTGCAGGAGCTGGGAGTCAGGGCCGCTAAAGGTAGACTCCCATCCCTACACAAGCACAAGCCCTCTGCCAGAGAAAATAAGAATTACATGTTATCCCTTTATAATGGGCTGGCCAGCAGGAGTTCCTGTGATGAGGGAAATGCTCTGCTCCTGTGTTGTCCTATGTGGCAGCCACTAACCACATGAAATGTGGCACTTGAAATATAGCTAATGAGACTGAGGAACTGAATTTAAAATTTTTGTTTCATATGAATTCATTTACATGAAATTCCACACTAAGTGTATTGGAAAGTGCAGCTTTATAAACTCTGCAAAACCTTGGTACTCCAGAGGGTCAGAGACTGGTTAGAGGTGGCAATCACACATGTTCAGGAGAAGAACTGCCATCTGGAGTTCTGGGCCTTTAGCTGTAATGGTTAAAATATATAGGTCACTCTGGTAAGAATATAGGCACTGAAGTCAGACAGATTTGGGTTTGAATGTTGGCTCCTCCATTTCTTAGCCCTCTGACCTTGAGCAAGTTTCCTTTAAACTTCTAGAGTCTTAGATTCAATATCTATAATAAAGAAAAGTAATGCCCATGAGGGTGTCTTTTCCTCCATAAGTCCATAGGGTTTGCTTCATTCATTCATTCATTCATTCATCCCATAACTATTTATTGAACACCTGTGCCGGGCCTTGCACTGGGTGCATAGAGGTGAGCGAAGCACATATTACCTTTGCCCTGCTAAATATTGTGCAAAGAGTGAGCTCTGTCAGACAGTGTAAACTATCTAGCTTAGAGAGGGTTGTGAGGATCAAATTCACCTGCATATGTTAAGTGCCTGGAAAGAGCTGTCAGGACTCAAAAATGTCCATTCACTCCCTCTGGCACCGTGTTCCTCTCCTGCACAGGGTCCTTGCCGATACCCCAGGCCCCTCTCCACTTCTGGCTGCCTATACAGAAAGGACACAAGATAGTCCTCGGACAACTGGATGTGTCCCTCCCACCAAGGCAAAACAATCAGGATGGTTCAGCTTCCTTCTGACAGACCTCCAACAGGAGCCTCAAGGCTTAATAGGGGCAAGAACACCCAGGCACCCCACTTCATCCCACAGACACACTGGGAAGAGGCCCCCTTCTCAGGACAGGCCAGTCCAGGAAGTGTTGGTGCTCAGTCCTGTCATCCCCTCATCTGAGTGGGGTTGGGGATAGCCAGGGCGTGGCTGGGGACCCAGAAATCTTGGGGTAATTTGGGATGTGGACACAGAGACTCCAACCGAACCCTGAAATAGAAGTGTTGAGGGGCTCAGGAGCCAGTGAGGCAGGAAGGCGGGCGGCGGGAGGCTTGCCCACCTGCCTGCCTGACCCTGTTCCTCAGGAGAACACCAGCTGGAGGCTTAGTCTTCCTTCCTCCTGATACAGCCTGAGACAGGAGTGTCACTTAACCTCAGGGCACATTCCAGAATGAGGCCACAGCCAAGAATAGGACCCAGGAACCTTGCCACCCATCCTGCCTATATTAATCACACATTCTCAGCACAGGAAGGCCTCTTCGGAGGTGGACAGAGGAGGAGGATGTGGTGTCAAGAAGTGGAGCTGGAGAAAAGGAGGGGAGACCCCCGAGCAACCCCGTCACAGCTTGTGGTCACCAGTGACCACACAGCCCTTGAACCCAGGGCCCTTGTTTGTCCAGTGAATCCCTCATGAACACTGTGAGGGGGGCCCACACCCCCAGTGGAGCCCATAAGCGATGATTCAGCCTGATCAGTGCAGGTGCAGGAAAGCAGGGTTTACGCAGCCTGGGGCAGGTAGACGGTCCCGCAGAGCTGAGCCTGGCGGGTGAGCAGGCAGAGGCTGCTGCTTCGCTCAGGAATCTAGGCCACGACTGCTTATGTGTGTGATAGAAATACCATGTCACATGGCTAGGTCGTAAGACAGCCCTGGGGTGGTACGTGCACAGCCTCCCAAGGCAGGCTCTTTGGAGATATTTGGAGTCCTGATGGGAGTGCACTGGCCAGCTGAGAGTGGGGTGTGAGTGTGTGTGTGTGCGTGCGTGTGTGCGTGTGTGACTTACTGGGAGAAGCAGTGCAGCATGAGCAGTAAGAACTCTGAAGTCAGACACCTACGTCCAAATTTCTGCCACTTAGCAGCAGCTGGGTGATCTTGGGCAGGTTTCCTGCCCACTCTGAGCTCAGTTTGCCTGCCTCCAGGACAGCATTCTGCCGCACACAGTTGTGGGTGAGATGGCAAGGACGGCACCCGAGGCCTCTCACACGGAAAGCGTCTGCACAGCGTGGATGTTGTAATGGGGTGTTCTCCCCCTCCTGGTTGTCATGGCCCAGCTGTCCAGGGGGTGACATCAGACTATGGAGCAGAGTGTCCTAGGAGGTGGAGGTGCTGGGGGAGGCGGAGGGTGGGAAAAGCCAAGGTGCCCTGCCCCAGAGGCCTCAGGGCCAGTCCAGGGCCAGCCAGCTCCAGACCAGAGGCAAGCAGAGAGATGGAGGGGAGGCCGGCAAGGAAAGTCAACAGATGCGAGGAGGAGGGGAGTGAGTGTCCAGTGTAGACAGGAAAGCAGGTGAGCCTGGCCTTGGACCTGAAGGAGGCCACAATCCCCCTTGTCCTGGGCCCAGGACAGGGACAAACCTCCTCACTGGGTGGAGTGGCCTTTCCAGGTTGGCAACCAGACCCTGGGAACTCAGTCCAGCCTTTACTGAGCACCTACTAGATGTCAGTTATTGTGTAAGCCTTGGGGAACAGAGATCAGAGATGCAGGCTTGGTTTCAAAGGCAGAAAAATAAATGCTAGGGAGTAAGTCCAAATTTACAATAGAGTCTAAATCTTATATTATAAATGCACTCCCTAAGTGCAGATCGGTTTGTCAGCTTGGATGTACTCCGTGAGCCACAGAATAAGATACCTGGTGCTGTGTGGTCCTGAGTCTGCAAAACCTAAGGCCCAGAGGATGAGGGAGGACCTTAGGTCCTGGGGGCCTGCTCTCGGCCAAGGGGCTGCTGAGGACAAGGAAGGGACCCAGGCTTAACTGGCTGTGCCAGGCTCTTTCCTAGGCGTTCCAGTTTAACAAGATCAATAGAGTCGATCTCCCCAAGACTCATGAAGTGCCCTTCCTACCCTCTTTTTCACAGATGAGGAAAGGGAGGCTCAGAGAGACAGCAGGTAAGTGTCAGAGCCCAGTTTCAGGCCTGGGTGTGCCTGACTCGGCTAGGCTTTCTCACTCCGCCCCAGGCTGGGGCTGGATGTGACAGGGAACCCAGGTCTCAGGCTGCAGGTGGGCAGTAGAGGCAGCTGGGGAAAGGAGCCCTGAAGTCGGGCTCCCCTCAACCTCATGCCTCCACCAGGTAGCAACAGGGCTCAGGCTCCATATCTGTACAAGGGGGCGAGGGGTGGGGAGGGGAGGTGACAGGTACTGGCAATGTGGACACTTGTGCCTTCGGGCTCTAAGGTAATGTACTCTTTATTGGGGCACCTTGGCCTAGAAACAGGTGCAACAGAATGTCCCAAAGCCCCTGAGTTCAGGAGAGCAGTCAAGGCCTACCTTCCTGGTTCTTGGCCCAGTGAAGGGGCCTGGGGCCTGTGCACACACCATCTGGCTGGCTCAGTTTTATGCTCAGCATTTTCCCAGTGGCAACTTGAGAGGCTTGCACGCCTCCGGCCTCTCTTCTCTCTCAGGGAGCAGCTTGTCTTTCCGATCCCAGCCCTCTCCTTATTGCAGAGAATTCTCTCTGAGGAGGGATTGGCTGGGCCAGGCTGGCCGTGATTCCTCCTCAGAGCTATGGCCCAGGAAGCACCAGGGAAGCAGACAGGGGACAGGAGTCTCCCGTGCTTAGCTGGCTCCCAGCCTGAGGGACAGACAAGCTGCGGGGAATGCTGCAGCTGCAGGCCCCCGCCCACACATCCAGGGCAGGGGAGCAGCCACCAGCACTGGAGCTGTCCCCATCCTGGGGACCAAGTCACATGCTGTGCGCACACCTAAGGCTCAGGGACCAGGCTCGCCCACAGGCCGCCAAGGGAGTTGCAGCTGGGCAGCAGGCCCTCCCTGCCCCACTCATGTCTCCTCCACCTTTGAAGCCCTAACCTCGACACCATCTACCCTTGGCCCACCATGCTGCTGTGGTGGGGTTAGGGGCTAGGGTACAAGTCAGAGCACCTGGGCCTAAGCACCCCACCTTCCTGCCTTTGTGTGCTCAGTTTCATCACCTGGCCTCTCCGTGCCTAATTCACGTTGCTGCAGTTAGCCCTGCAGGTGAGGAGCCTCAGAGCTGCAAAGTGGGTGGAACGTTAGCAGTGTCCCTCTATCACCCAGATATGGTCCCCCTGGCCAGGCTTCCTTCCTGCAAGTTCACCAATGCAGGAGACACCCACCTCCTTCCATCTCCCTCACACACATTAGCCCAAGTGGGTCACACAAGAAGGATTGTTGATACAATGAGCTTTTAATTGGTATCTTCCTCCCTACATCTGAGGAAGAAACAAGGACTCCCACAATGATCTGCTAGCTTTGGAGGGGCGTGGACAGAAGGAGGGGCTAAGGAGGGGATGGGGGGCAGGAGTAGAGCTGACAGTGGCTTTCCCAAGTCCTTTATCTAGTGGTGGGGGTGGCTGGTCCTTCACAAGAAGTCCAGAAATAAAAAGTCACAAGTAAGCTGCGACATCCCCAAACCGGCCCTCCCAGGCCTCACCTGGAGTTTCTCTCTAGGTCCCTGCGGTTCCCAAGGCTACCACCAGATGGGAACATTGAGCAACCTTCCTTTTCCTTCCCCGGCCGGCCTCCTCTCTCTGGCTGACTTCTCACTCCTTCACCAACCCTCTTCCCCGCCTATTTTCTTTTTCCTTTATTTCTCTTCCTACCAAAACAGATCGTGGGGCTTCTATCTGCTTTCTGCCCCAGGAAGCCAGCGGCACTTGAAAGCACACTGTCAAGTGAGACCGTCTGACAGCTGGGAGGGCAGCCCTGGGACCCTGGGATCTGGGAATCTATGTTCAGTCACTTGTGTTCAGTTAGGAAGTGACTAACATCCCCTCTGTGGTCCTAGCACCTGGCACCTAGGAAGTGTTCAGAAATGTCCACTGCATTTGACTGGACAGAACTGAATCAATAAATCAACAAAGCCAAGGAGAAGAACATGAGAAACATGCATTCTGCTGGTGCCCCGGTGGCTCCAGAGACCCCGGGGCCAGCTTGACGAATGCGCAGGCCCAGAGGCTCCCGCCCAGCAGCCTCCCCTCGGGGCAAGATGTGTGCAGGCCGGACCATGTCTCCTGCTCCCCACTTCCCACAGCCCCTGACATGAAGGGGCCTGCTCACAGTGATCCACGTGGCTATGGCGAATTTGTCCGGGCCCTCCTGTCTCTCCCCACCTCCCTTTGCAAACCAATTCATTCCCTGATTCCTGGGACCATCATGCAGCACCATCTTTCACACCCTGGCTGGGAGGCTGGCTGGGGGTAGTGGGTCTGGGAGAGCCAGGGGAGGTGAGTGTAAGGGTGCAGCAGACAGGGTGACAATGCCTAAGCGGAGCAGTCACCAGGAATAACTTGCAGGTGTCTACTGACTTCTCCTTTTCTCCCCCTCAACTGAAAAAGATACAGACCCCTTACTGAGCCCAAAGAAGAGAAGTTGATCTAAGATGGTGGGTGGACTTTTGCAGATGCATTGATTGACATTTCCCTGCTGGCCTCAGACTGTCTAATCTGACCTTTGCTGACTGAGGGGTGTTGGGGGTGGGGAGGGGGAAGAGGGCTGGGAAGGGGTCGTGGGGCTTCAGTGCAAGCCTAGGAACTCCTTGAGGACGTCACAGGTCTTCTTGTGCATGACCTCACGCAGCTTCCTCACCCGCCGGGTGCCAGATGCGCCCACGAAGCTGTCAGGCCGCAGCACAGCCATGCCGCCATCCACCTCACCCATGATGATGAGTGGTGCCTCACCTACTGTCACGTTGGGGCAGGGGCAGGTCCAGTCCACGTGGAGCAGAGTGACTTCCAGCGGCTCCCGGCCCAGGAACTTGAGGCCCATCTTCTCATCCTTCAGGACCTCGTCCACAGTCACCAGGGCACGACCTGAGTCAGGCTCCTCGGTCAGCTCGGAGACTCGGCCCAAAATAACAAAGTCGCTGCGACAGAAGCTGGTAACAAGCTTCTGCCTCGGTTTGCAGGCCCGGCAGTGCTGGCTCCCCCGGGGGAAGGGGCAGGACTCTTCGCAGGCCTCGCGGCTCTCGAAGTTGTTACCGTTGCCCTCGCAGCCCCCATAGACAAAGGACTGGCACTGGCCCATCTGGCTGTTATAGGCCCACCGAGGTGCATAGGCCTTGCAGGGCCCCTGCAGGGCGGGCAGGCTGCACACAGCCAGTGGCCCGCTCATGCAGGCCAGCATGCAGGCCTCGTAGGTCTCAAAGTGGTTCCGGTTGCGGTGGCAGTGACCAAAGGTGAAGGTGAGGCAGTTGTTGGCCTGGGCGTCGAAGTGCCAGCGGGTCTGCTCCTCGCCACAGTCCTCACTGTCAGGGGGTTGCAGGCACTCATTCAAGGGGAAGGCTGTGCCGTTGGGGCTGCTCTCCGCCGTGGCAGCTGCCTGACCGCCCCTGACCACTGACAGCGGGAAGTCGGCACGCAGGACCCCAGCCGCATTCCGGGCTGTGCAGGTGTAGATGCCGGCATCCTGGGGCTCGGCATTATAGATGACCAGCTGGGCAATGTTGGTGACCACTACGTTGCCACGCACGTGGTTGGGTCTCATGACCACGTTCTCCCGATCCTCTAGCTGCTTCTCCCAGGTGATCTCGGGCCGGGGCCGGCCCACTACATCACAGAGGAAGCTCACTGTCTCGCCCATGGTGACCGACTGGGGCACAGGGTGGTTGAGCAGAGCTGGGGCCACCATGTCCAGCCCAGGGGTCTCGGGGGAGGCCGTGGTGGGGCGCACGGTGGTCTCAGGCGGCAGGGGACTGGTGTTGGGCCAGGTGAAGTGATAGCGGCAGGTGACAACAGCCAGTGTAATGCCTTGGGAGCAGGCCTCGGCGTCCATGTAGCAGCGGTTATAGTAGGTGAGGCCGTCCGAGGCACAGGTAAAGCTGGGCTCCTTCTCACAACGATCTTTGCACTTACACACTGGCTGGCCATCCCAGATGTCACACTCGGAGCCCTGCTGCAGACACATGAAGTGGTCACACGTGGCCTCCTTGGGCAAGCCCACTGGGCCCTTCTTCCCCTTCACGTCCATGTAGCGGGCAGCCACACAGCTCCTGGTCCCACACACATTGGGGCAGCACTTCTCATAGGTCTCACACTCCTGGAGAGAGCCAAACCAAGAGGCCTGAGCGAGGGGGAGAAGGGACAAAGGGCAGGCCCCCCACCCCACCCACTGTGTTTCCACAGAAGGGAACCACCTGCTATGAGCAAAACATTTTGATAATAAGAATAGCTAATATCCTTTATGCAGCACCTACTGTTTGCCAGGCCCTCTTCTAAGAACATTTACAACTGTCAACTTATTTAACGCTCATCACAAACTTATGAGGTGGGACGACCATAATTTCTACTTCACAGGTAACGACAACCAAGACACAGAGAGACTAGGTGACCTGCCAAGGTCACACAGCTGGGAGTGTGGGAGGAGGCAGGACACGTATTCTGAGGGATTGGTCTCAAGCTACCATTGTACCAATGAGAAGGCAGAGACGGGGAGGCAAGGCCCAAATCCACAGAGCTGGGAAAAGGTAGAAAGAGACTTCAAGCTCCAGGCAGATGGGATTCTGAAATGAGGTTCACAGAGGTGCCACAAAGGAGGTCTAGGTTGAAACAAATGAGCTTGACTTTGTGTCTTTTTTCCACTGGGATGAGGATACCCTGGCCAAATCCAAGAGGTCACATCAAATGCTGAGGACAAGTCGGACACCCATGGGACAGACACAGGCTGTCCACATGCACACCAGGAAGAGCAGCTCTGATGGGCACCCGCATTCGTCCAAAGCCGGGAGGGAGGGCAGGTGGGACAGGCCCAGGATGCCAGGCCTCAAAAACCGTGGGCTGTGCCAGACCTAGGTGCTTGGTCCCAAAGGGTGGGATATTTCGTGGGGAAATCAACAAGGAAAAATGTCCCCTTGTGTAGCAAAGGTCAGCAAAGCCTTCAGCAAGGACTTAGGAGGCTATAATTCCCTCTGATTTTCTGTGGAGCCACTGTAAGGCATTAGCTTAATTCCTCGAAATTAGCAACATGCTCTGGGGCCAACACAAACAAGGATTTCACATGGTGTTTTCGACAATAACACATCTCGCCCACGCAGGCACGGCTCCTAATCCTCCAGCCTGGTAGTAGCTCTGTGGCTGGCCTCTGTGGTCCTGACGTTTTATTTCACCTCTTGGACATTCCACATCAGCTAAGAAAGGGAAATAGCCCCCCTGGGGCTATGTGGAACCTGCTTGCTTGACACGTTTACTGTTGTGCTCCTCTCAGCTCAGAATGGAAACTTTGTTTTGTAGCCTTGCTTGGCATAGGCTTCTAGGTCACACCAGGGGAGGCTTTGGAACAGTGACGGGAAGACCTCAAAGCTGGGATGGGACCGGGAGAGACCTGGGGACCTGAGAGCTGGCAAGGACACCTAAGGATCACTCAGTTTCCTAAGAAGGTCCAGGAAGCCCTTTTAGGATTTGGAGGTCCCTGAAAGACTGGGTCCTTGGGGACCATGAGGAAGGAATTTCTGGGCACAGGAAACCTACAGGGAATCCTTAGAACAGTTTTTGCCTAAGGGCCCAGAATGGGCCCCGAGGCTGTCCGAATCCCCTGTCCCACATAGGTGCCTTTGCCCCAAGACACAAACTCAGTCAGGGTCTCACTGTTCCCAAGGCCCACCTCACTTGTCAGGCCAGGCTGTGCCAGTGAAACAGACTCCCCAACAAATGCAGACAACCAATGGCACGACCCCAGCCAGATGCCAACACTCTGCCACCCGTCCCCAGTCTTACCTTCCTTTCCCTCTCTACCACCATTGCTCACTGGCAGCATCTGGCCTGAGAGGCCCAAGAACTGTCTCCTGGGCACTGGGAGACCAAGGCCACTCTCTGCAGGGCGATCGTGTGCTCTCCCATATGTTACATGCATTTGGCAGGGGGAGCACCAGGGTCTTTCATGTTCCCTGGGGATGCCCAGGCCACAGAAGTGCCTCTGCCCAGGCAGGTGCCAGGTACCCACTGGTTCTGCATCCCTGGAGGGAGTGGCAGGCATGGCCCTTGACTCAGGAGCTGGGAGGAAATTGCCCTGGAACCAGGCCTGCCCTGCTGGCTGCTGGGTGTTCTGATGAGAGCAGAAGGGAGGACAAGGAATCTGGCAGGTTGAAACTTGGCCCACTTCCCTCCCGGGACACCCAGAGTCTCTTGAGAGCTGTTCCCACCCACCTTCCCATCAGTCTGGTCTGATCTCCAGGTCAGGGTCCAAACCCCTGGGGAGGTGGCCTAGAAGCTGGGTGAAGCCTCAGCTTGCTGCCAGAGAGACGTGGGTTCCAAGCTCACCCCCTCATCCTGGCTGCTGGACCTTGTGCTGCTCACTGCACTGTCCTGAGCACCCACTCTCACCGGTCAGGGGCTGCTGACAGGTCGTGCCAGCCACACGATGTGCCTGGCGTAGTGCTGGCTCAGAGCAGCCCTCAGCAAGCATGAGACCAGGAATCCGAGGATTCCCAGTCCCTGATGAACTTGGGCATCACACTCACCTCTTCTGGCCTTGGACTTAGACAGACCACACACCCTGTTTATCTCCACGTGGCCCGGAGCCTGAGTTCTTTCAGGTCCTGGGCCCTGCAGGGCCCTCAAGAGCCGTCCCCACCCCACACTCCCACTCTCCCCGCCTAACACACTCGCTCCATCTCAGGCTTCCCGGCTCCCACTCACCTGGTCTGCCTCACACTCCCTCTTGCAGGTGCTCTGGGCATCCACCCAGAGGTTAGGGTTCATGTCGTTGGGGCAGATGCCCGCGTGAGAATAGCGGATGGGTGGCAGCGCCTGGCCTCGTGGGGGCACCCCGAGGAGCAGCAGCAGAGCTGCCACCTGCCCCCAGCAGGACCAGAACCGGTGGCATGGCAGGGCCCACATGATGCAGTCCTCCGTGGCCAGAGACCTCCTCCGGGAGGACACCGGGAACTGGGGCCCACCAGGGCCTCCTCCTTCCCGGGGGCTGTGGGCACCTGCCCTCCCCACCCAGCAGGCTGCCTTGTTGCTGCTAAGGCTGCCGCGGCTGCCTGCACCAAGTCAGCGGAGCCCGCTGGGCTGTGCGGCTCCAGATAAAGGAAAGGTCTTCGCAAGGAAACTCCCTCTCCTGAGTGTGCAGGGAGAGGGGCCGCAGCCGGGCCGAGCCTGGATTTATATCCTGGGCGCGCCACCCGAGTGGGAGCGAGCTAACCTGATGCCTGTCACGGGCAGGCTGCTGGCTCCTCTGTCCCGTGGCCGATCACAGACTTGTTGCAGAAGGGGAAAAAAAAAACTGGAAGCAGTTTAGGCGCGGCGTATCTGGCACGGTGGGACACCTGCTTGTTTTTGACTCCAGGAGGCCTTTAACCCCTTCAAGGGCCAGAAATGGCATGTGCTTTGGGGGTAGCTGGCTCCGGGACACGCAAGCTCACTGTAAAGGAGCGGGTTTGTTTCCCTTTCCCCCACCTCCTTGGCCAGACCCCCTCCCCTCCTTGGCCACCTCTGAAGAACACATAACCGCTTGTTACACGGAGGGACCTGCAGCCGCAGGGTTAGCATCGCCTGGCCCGATAGTACATTTGAGAGCAAATGACGTGGAAAAACAACAAGTTCAAGGCCATTCCAGGGCGGGCCTGAGCCGTGCTGTGCTGTGTAAGCTGACTCCCACCCGAGCACCAGGTCCCTTTGTGGGGGGTGTGTGCGCGGACAGCTCCCTATCTCTCTGTCCCAGGCACTTTGCATCTCAAGTTCCAACTTTGGTGAATTTTCCCCAAATCATTCCAGAGACACATACCAGATATGCTCCGGCTCCCCCAGCTGCCTGGACGGATCACATTCCTCGCTCCTCCACTAACACACTCTTCGGCTCCAAGACAGCCTCCGCGGTAGCGGTGTCTCGGGACTCCGAGCTGCCTCACTAATGACCCCCACGGCGGCCATCCTGGCGCTCTTTTGTGTCCAGCACTTTCCAACCATTGGCTCGTTTTACAAAGAAGGGTCATGACTGGAGAGGGCACCCATGGTGGGCAGCGACAGGAACACTCACTATCAGCGTTAACTGGGCTTTTACTAAGTGCCAGGCTCTCTGCATGCATCACCTCATTTAATCCTCACAACAAACTGTAGCTTCAGCTTAGATTTGATGAAAGGATACAGAGAGGCTAAGCAACTCGCCCTGTGTCACACAGCTATGTGACCCCACCATTAATGCACCACCATTAATGCACCAGCTTACAGGCTGCAGGCAGTGGCCTGTGGAAGTCACCCCACTCTGGCTTTTACAGACTGGACAAGAAGTTTGTGCAACATCAGGGTCTATATTTGCAGAGGGGACCAAGAAGGGAGCCAGAAGCTGCCAAAGGCTGGGGGCGATGCCTCTCTGTTTGGCAGGAAATGGCTCGTATCTGAAAATGCCACTGAAAATTGAGTGCCACTGAGTGTTTTTGCATTGGTCACTCCCAGGGAGTGAGAGGTGAGGGAGAAAGATCCCTGGAAAAGGGGGTCCCTGTTCAAGGCCAAACAACAAAAGATTTGGGGAGCAGTAAGGGAGCTGCCGTGTCTCAGGGGCAGTAGATGGGGAGGCCCTACACGTGTCGGGGCCTGCAAGGACCTGGAAGGCCCCCAGCAGTGCTCTCATGCACAGATGGGGAATATGAGTGCTGAGCCCAGGCCCCTCCTATCCCGGGTCCACTCTCCCCAGGGCTAGGGTCCACTAATTTGACTGTAAAGGGCAGCACGACCCTCTTTTCCACCCTGCAGACTTTTCCTTGTCCTCATGGGGTGTTATGTTGCCTTCCCTCTGCCTGAGCCAATTCCTTCCTGTCGTGTGGGTCATTCTGCAAGGACTGTCTTTTCTGCTTATGTCAAAGAGCTAACGAAGGGTGTCAGATCCTAATCCTCTAAATTATTGGAATAAACTTCCCTCCAAGGCTGGTCCCAATAATGAAGCCAGACAGCAGGTGATGGCTGCTTTGAATTTCCTGTAATTTCATAAACCCGTGTTCCAGCTGCTCGTAGCGGGGCCCTAGCACAGTGCTTGATGAATGCCGTTTGTGCAGCCTCCTTTGATATCACAAAGGGAAATGGACGGTGACACATTTCCAAGCAGGACTTAGAAAAACTGTCACAGCCCTATTATGTGAGGATCATTGGGGCAGCACTTCTCATAGGTCTCACACTCCTGGAGAGAGCCAAACCAAGAGGCCTGAGCGAGGGGGAGAAGGGACAAAGGGCAGGCCCCCCACCCCACCCACTGTGTTTCCACAGAAGGGAACCACCTGCTATGAGCAAAACATTTTGATAATAAGAATAGCTAATATCCTTTATGCAGCACCTACTGTTTGCCAGGCCCTCTTCTAAGAACATTTACAACTGTCAACTTATTTAACGCTCATCACAAACTTATGAGGTGGGACGACCATAATTTCTACTTCACAGGTAACGACAACCAAGACACAGAGAGACTAGGTGACCTGCCAAGGTCACACAGCTGGGAGTGTGGGAGGAGGCAGGACACGTATTCTGAGGGATTGGTCTCAAGCTACCATTGTACCAATGAGAAGGCAGAGACGGGGAGGCAAGGCCCAAATCCACAGAGCTGGGAAAAGGTAGAAAGAGACTTCAAGCTCCAGGCAGATGGGATTCTGAAATGAGGTTCACAGAGGTGCCACAAAGGAGGTCTAGGTTGAAACAAATGAGCTTGACTTTGTGTCTTTTTTCCACTGGGATGAGGATACCCTGGCCAAATCCAAGAGGTCACATCAAATGCTGAGGACAAGTCGGACACCCATGGGACAGACACAGGCTGTCCACATGCACACCAGGAAGAGCAGCTCTGATGGGCACCCGCATTCGTCCAAAGCCGGGAGGGAGGGCAGGTGGGACAGGCCCAGGATGCCAGGCCTCAAAAACCGTGGGCTGTGCCAGACCTAGGTGCTTGGTCCCAAAGGGTGGGATATTTCGTGGGGAAATCAACAAGGAAAAATGTCCCCTTGTGTAGCAAAGGTCAGCAAAGCCTTCAGCAAGGACTTAGGAGGCTATAATTCCCTCTGATTTTCTGTGGAGCCACTGTAAGGCATTAGCTTAATTCCTCGAAATTAGCAACATGCTCTGGGGCCAACACAAACAAGGATTTCACATGGTGTTTTCGACAATAACACATCTCGCCCACGCAGGCACGGCTCCTAATCCTCCAGCCTGGTAGTAGCTCTGTGGCTGGCCTCTGTGGTCCTGACGTTTTATTTCACCTCTTGGACATTCCACATCAGCTAAGAAAGGGAAATAGCCCCCCTGGGGCTATGTGGAACCTGCTTGCTTGACACGTTTACTGTTGTGCTCCTCTCAGCTCAGAATGGAAACTTTGTTTTGTAGCCTTGCTTGGCATAGGCTTCTAGGTCACACCAGGGGAGGCTTTGGAACAGTGACGGGAAGACCTCAAAGCTGGGATGGGACCGGGAGAGACCTGGGGACCTGAGAGCTGGCAAGGACACCTAAGGATCACTCAGTTTCCTAAGAAGGTCCAGGAAGCCCTTTTAGGATTTGGAGGTCCCTGAAAGACTGGGTCCTTGGGGACCATGAGGAAGGAATTTCTGGGCACAGGAAACCTACAGGGAATCCTTAGAACAGTTTTTGCCTAAGGGCCCAGAATGGGCCCCGAGGCTGTCCGAATCCCCTGTCCCACATAGGTGCCTTTGCCCCAAGACACAAACTCAGTCAGGGTCTCACTGTTCCCAAGGCCCACCTCACTTGTCAGGCCAGGCTGTGCCAGTGAAACAGACTCCCCAACAAATGCAGACAACCAATGGCACGACCCCAGCCAGATGCCAACACTCTGCCACCCGTCCCCAGTCTTACCTTCCTTTCCCTCTCTACCACCATTGCTCACTGGCAGCATCTGGCCTGAGAGGCCCAAGAACTGTCTCCTGGGCACTGGGAGACCAAGGCCACTCTCTGCAGGGCGATCGTGTGCTCTCCCATATGTTACATGCATTTGGCAGGGGGAGCACCAGGGTCTTTCATGTTCCCTGGGGATGCCCAGGCCACAGAAGTGCCTCTGCCCAGGCAGGTGCCAGGTACCCACTGGTTCTGCATCCCTGGAGGGAGTGGCAGGCATGGCCCTTGACTCAGGAGCTGGGAGGAAATTGCCCTGGAACCAGGCCTGCCCTGCTGGCTGCTGGGTGTTCTGATGAGAGCAGAAGGGAGGACAAGGAATCTGGCAGGTTGAAACTTGGCCCACTTCCCTCCCGGGACACCCAGAGTCTCTTGAGAGCTGTTCCCACCCACCTTCCCATCAGTCTGGTCTGATCTCCAGGTCAGGGTCCAAACCCCTGGGGAGGTGGCCTAGAAGCTGGGTGAAGCCTCAGCTTGCTGCCAGAGAGACGTGGGTTCCAAGCTCACCCCCTCATCCTGGCTGCTGGACCTTGTGCTGCTCACTGCACTGTCCTGAGCACCCACTCTCACCGGTCAGGGGCTGCTGACAGGTCGTGCCAGCCACACGATGTGCCTGGCGTAGTGCTGGCTCAGAGCAGCCCTCAGCAAGCATGAGACCAGGAATCCGAGGATTCCCAGTCCCTGATGAACTTGGGCATCACACTCACCTCTTCTGGCCTTGGACTTAGACAGACCACACACCCTGTTTATCTCCACGTGGCCCGGAGCCTGAGTTCTTTCAGGTCCTGGGCCCTGCAGGGCCCTCAAGAGCCGTCCCCACCCCACACTCCCACTCTCCCCGCCTAACACACTCGCTCCATCTCAGGCTTCCCGGCTCCCACTCACCTGGTCTGCCTCACACTCCCTCTTGCAGGTGCTCTGGGCATCCACCCAGAGGTTAGGGTTCATGTCGTTGGGGCAGATGCCCGCGTGAGAATAGCGGATGGGTGGCAGCGCCTGGCCTCGTGGGGGCACCCCGAGGAGCAGCAGCAGAGCTGCCACCTGCCCCCAGCAGGACCAGAACCGGTGGCATGGCAGGGCCCACATGATGCAGTCCTCCGTGGCCAGAGACCTCCTCCGGGAGGACACCGGGAACTGGGGCCCACCAGGGCCTCCTCCTTCCCGGGGGCTGTGGGCACCTGCCCTCCCCACCCAGCAGGCTGCCTTGTTGCTGCTAAGGCTGCCGCGGCTGCCTGCACCAAGTCAGCGGAGCCCGCTGGGCTGTGCGGCTCCAGATAAAGGAAAGGTCTTCGCAAGGAAACTCCCTCTCCTGAGTGTGCAGGGAGAGGGGCCGCAGCCGGGCCGAGCCTGGATTTATATCCTGGGCGCGCCACCCGAGTGGGAGCGAGCTAACCTGATGCCTGTCACGGGCAGGCTGCTGGCTCCTCTGTCCCGTGGCCGATCACAGACTTGTTGCAGAAGGGGAAAAAAAAAACTGGAAGCAGTTTAGGCGCGGCGTATCTGGCACGGTGGGACACCTGCTTGTTTTTGACTCCAGGAGGCCTTTAACCCCTTCAAGGGCCAGAAATGGCATGTGCTTTGGGGGTAGCTGGCTCCGGGACACGCAAGCTCACTGTAAAGGAGCGGGTTTGTTTCCCTTTCCCCCACCTCCTTGGCCAGACCCCCTCCCCTCCTTGGCCACCTCTGAAGAACACATAACCGCTTGTTACACGGAGGGACCTGCAGCCGCAGGGTTAGCATCGCCTGGCCCGATAGTACATTTGAGAGCAAATGACGTGGAAAAACAACAAGTTCAAGGCCATTCCAGGGCGGGCCTGAGCCGTGCTGTGCTGTGTAAGCTGACTCCCACCCGAGCACCAGGTCCCTTTGTGGGGGGTGTGTGCGCGGACAGCTCCCTATCTCTCTGTCCCAGGCACTTTGCATCTCAAGTTCCAACTTTGGTGAATTTTCCCCAAATCATTCCAGAGACACATACCAGATATGCTCCGGCTCCCCCAGCTGCCTGGACGGATCACATTCCTCGCTCCTCCACTAACACACTCTTCGGCTCCAAGACAGCCTCCGCGGTAGCGGTGTCTCGGGACTCCGAGCTGCCTCACTAATGACCCCCACGGCGGCCATCCTGGCGCTCTTTTGTGTCCAGCACTTTCCAACCATTGGCTCGTTTTACAAAGAAGGGTCATGACTGGAGAGGGCACCCATGGTGGGCAGCGACAGGAACACTCACTATCAGCGTTAACTGGGCTTTTACTAAGTGCCAGGCTCTCTGCATGCATCACCTCATTTAATCCTCACAACAAACTGTAGCTTCAGCTTAGATTTGATGAAAGGATACAGAGAGGCTAAGCAACTCGCCCTGTGTCACACAGCTATGTGACCCCACCATTAATGCACCACCATTAATGCACCAGCTTACAGGCTGCAGGCAGTGGCCTGTGGAAGTCACCCCACTCTGGCTTTTACAGACTGGACAAGAAGTTTGTGCAACATCAGGGTCTATATTTGCAGAGGGGACCAAGAAGGGAGCCAGAAGCTGCCAAAGGCTGGGGGCGATGCCTCTCTGTTTGGCAGGAAATGGCTCGTATCTGAAAATGCCACTGAAAATTGAGTGCCACTGAGTGTTTTTGCATTGGTCACTCCCAGGGAGTGAGAGGTGAGGGAGAAAGATCCCTGGAAAAGGGGGTCCCTGTTCAAGGCCAAACAACAAAAGATTTGGGGAGCAGTAAGGGAGCTGCCGTGTCTCAGGGGCAGTAGATGGGGAGGCCCTACACGTGTCGGGGCCTGCAAGGACCTGGAAGGCCCCCAGCAGTGCTCTCATGCACAGATGGGGAATATGAGTGCTGAGCCCAGGCCCCTCCTATCCCGGGTCCACTCTCCCCAGGGCTAGGGTCCACTAATTTGACTGTAAAGGGCAGCACGACCCTCTTTTCCACCCTGCAGACTTTTCCTTGTCCTCATGGGGTGTTATGTTGCCTTCCCTCTGCCTGAGCCAATTCCTTCCTGTCGTGTGGGTCATTCTGCAAGGACTGTCTTTTCTGCTTATGTCAAAGAGCTAACGAAGGGTGTCAGATCCTAATCCTCTAAATTATTGGAATAAACTTCCCTCCAAGGCTGGTCCCAATAATGAAGCCAGACAGCAGGTGATGGCTGCTTTGAATTTCCTGTAATTTCATAAACCCGTGTTCCAGCTGCTCGTAGCGGGGCCCTAGCACAGTGCTTGATGAATGCCGTTTGTGCAGCCTCCTTTGATATCACAAAGGGAAATGGACGGTGACACATTTCCAAGCAGGACTTAGAAAAACTGTCACAGCCCTATTATGTGAGGATAAGTATTTAGGAAGAGGAGGCTGATTTCTGGGGAGTCCCTGGAGACCAGTAGGGGAGTGGAGATACTGGGGGGAGAGGGGTCCAGGCAGAGGTGCTGGAAGGGGGGTCAGAGAAGAAGGGGAAGCGTTTCCATCCCACCCCACCACTCAGGTGGATGGAGAAAGCCCTCTACCCAGCTTCGTCCTGTCAAGACCTCCCTCCCAGGGCCCCACTTCTGGCCATTCTGCCCTGAGAACTCTCAGAACAGCATCAGGGGAGAGGAAGCCCTATAAAGCTCTCCCTCTCAGCCCTTCCAAGTCTCCCACCAAAACAGAGCTCAGAATAATAAATAACGTCTGATCAGGGCTCAGAGCCCACACAGTTTTCACCTACATCATCACCGCTGACCCTCATGCCAGCCCCGCAGAGCCCAGGAGATGCTGCCATGAGCTCCGATGTGTGAGAGAGGAAACCAAGTCCGGAGAGGTTAGGCAAGGCCTACCCGGGGCCCCTCGGCTCACACACTCCCCTGCCGAAGCCCAGTCCTGGGCTCTTTACACAACCCGTGCAAGCTTCCAGCCCCTCCAGAAAGGCCCCCGCTGACTGCCCCGCCAGCCTGGCTTGTTTATAGGCTGTTCTGGTTGTGCTTTGAAGTCTCCTCCAGGGCCCTCCCTCCCACAGTCCCTCAGATCTGCCTCCATCTGACCCTGTCTCCCTCGAACTCTCCTCTGGAGGGTGGCATGGGCCCCCCCACCCTCACCAACCCCCAGCAATGAATAAGAAGGCTCAGCTGCCCTCTCCCACCACCCACCAGGCCACCTTGCCCCCTGACTCAGGCCTCTGTGGAGCCCAGCCTGGGTGGGTGGGCCTGAGCAGGGGCCTGACCTCGGGGGTGGCCCCTGCCTTCCACCCTCCCCATGGACAGCAGGCACAGCTTGGTCAGAAAGAGGACTGGGTTCTGACTTCCTTTCAGAAGAGCCCCCTCGAGCCCCCACCTCTGTGGGAGGGTAGAGGGACCACAGACCTTTCACACCCTCCGGGGGACCAAGGCCTATGCTAGGCACAGCTGGCAGGAAGTCACCCGGACGGCGACCTCAGGTTCAGCCTTAGCAGAACAACTCCTGAGCCACTAGGACTTGACAGAACAACCCAACAGATACCATTTCCCAAATCTGCCAGGCCTCTCCCCTCGGGACATCAGCCGCACGTGCGGTGAGGACTCAGAGACCCACGGAGATGTCAGCCAGCATCTTGGATGCCATGCTGCTTGCACACAGACCAAACCTCTTACCTCTTGAAGCATTTCCTTCCTCCTTCCTTGGTTTTTTAAAGCACCTACTATGTGCTAAGTTCTGGGTACATGGAGATAGACAGCAGTGCTTGTCCACAGGGAGCGCACAGTTTCGACCAGAAAACAAGCACTCAGCAGCATGCTAAGAACGGTTCATGCTGTCTTGGGGGTCTTTATAAGTGCTGGGGAGAGAGGCCTGGGCTGCTGTGTCACAGACTTGACCTGGGGTGGGTCTTGAAGCCTGAGCAGGCGTCTGCAAGGCAGAGCAGAGAAGGTGGTTTCCTACACTTCTCCCTGGAAAGGCCTGGCCCGAAGCACAGCCTCCTTGGCCAAGGCCCTCCCTCCATGGGCCCCAGGCCAACAGGAAGGGGAGGTAAGGGGGAAGTCAGTAGGTTTAAGAAACAGGGTGGGGGTGGGAGGTGCAGGTCTTTCTTCCACACAGGCGGCCCCGCAAAGTCAAACCAGCAGCCCATACTACTCCACCCTGCCTGGGCCCCCAGACTGAAGGCAGCCACACTTTCTTCCGTACAGATGGGGGAGGCCAACCCCCACAGAGGCCTCCTTGTCCTGATCCTTAACTTAATAACTTAAACATATTTAGGGAGGAGGAAGGATTTGAGGAGCAGGAAAGGGTGCTTGGGAGAAGGAAGTCCTGGGTGAGGAGGGTGCTCAAATGGGTTCTCAGAAGGCCGGAGGTGCCTCAGCTACAGGCATGATTAGTTAGACCCAAGCCAGGGAATTCAATAAAGCTGGTGGCTCATTACCCAGCTGGGGACCCCCTGCCCGAGCGGCCATGGGCCTGGGTTACATTACAGGGTTGTGTGAACTCTCCCCTTAAAGCTGGTGGCTCATTACCCAGCTGGGGACCCCCTGCCCGAGCGGCCATGGGCCTGGGTTACATTACAGGGTTGTGTGAACTCTCCCCTCGAAGTGAGACTGCACCGGGCCTTGGAATAATTATGAGGCCTCAGCAGATGGTGGAAGCGGACAGGGAGACCGTCAGCTGTGGGCCACGTGACCTGCCCGCATCTCTGCAGAGCAGGACATGGGAGGGTCCACGATGGACCCTGGGGGAGATGGCACTGAATCAAGATCAGAGAATGATGGGGTGGCCATGGTGGGGCATGGCCCAGTGCCCTGGGCTAGCCAGGCCTCCATTAGACCCCAGTCCAGGCCAGGGGGCTGCTGCTGGGCCAGGAGCCTGGCAACTGGAGTGCCAGTGTCTGGATGGATCTGTGTGCCATGAAGCCATAACAGGAGACACAACTTCTGGTACAGACCAATCCTGAGCACCTTTGAGCCCTCGGATGCCTCTCTAGAGAAAGTGGGCTTCAAAGTGCTCAGTGGGTTTCAGCCCCAAGTCTGACACCTCACTCACTCGGGAAGCTCCATGGTGTAATCTCCAAGGCTGAGCACAGTGCCAGGAGCCAGGGGTGCTGCCATCCGCCCCTGGCGACCACCTCTGCCTCGCCATCGCGACCCCTTCCAGCTCCCTCCTCTGTGATCCCATGTCCCGATTCCTCCAGCTTTTCCTTGATGGAATCAGCTTCAAGAAGTACCAAGCAGCCTTCAGCCAAGACAAACAGGGGCTGAAGGAGCCAGAAGGCCAGGCGCAGGGCTGCAGGGCCGGTGTGGGTTCTGCCGCTCTGCTCCGCTGGAGGCGAGCGAGGGCCCCTGGTCCCATTTTCCCCAGGCCTGGGGATTCAGTAGGAGTGCTCCAAGTAGGGGCAGGGCCTCCCTCCCACTCAGGGCCTCCCACCCCCACCCAGGTCCTAAAAGCTTCCTCTGGCTACTCGACTCTCTACACTAGAGCTCTGGTCGTCTCTGCCTTACTGATTCTTCCTTCAGG